AAACAGAAAAAGCTATGAGTTTGAAAGTTTAATTTTCTATTATGTATCTTAAAATGTGATAGGGTCCAATTTGAGTCACGGGGACCAGAGGCCTCGTCTTCCAAGCTTTCTCATACTGGAACCCATCCTCAGGGAACTTCTCTCTCTCTCTCTCTCTCTCTCTCTCTCTCTCTTCTAACACTGATGACGTTCCTTAGTTGGGTCGTGAAACCTCTGCAAGAAAAAACCAACCAGGCTCAGAGAGCACCAAGGCCCCACAATTCTCCTCCTCCTCCTCCTCTCTACAAACCTGTTTCCCTTCCAGCACTGATGACGTTCCCTAGTTGGGTCGTGAAACGTCTGCAAGGAAACCACCAAGCTTGGAGAGCATCAGGGAAAGTTCAATCCTGAGTTACAAATATTCTCTTCTCTAAAAGAAACAACTAAACAAAACACCAGCCACGGGGGAAGAGAGGAGGACATCACACCCACGCACCCACATTGGGAAAACTAACCCCTGTATATCTGGGCTCACCTGAGTGGTGGCTGTGATGGACAGCACGAAGGTTGGCACTGTGGAACAGCTGAGGTTCAAGAGGCGTCCCTAGAAGAGGAGGGGGAGCAATTCTAAGCACCCAGATTGACTCCCAATGTCACCCCAGCATGTCTTGAGCCTTCCCAAGTGGGCATCAGGAAGGGGTCCTCAACCGTGGCAACTTGAAGACTTGTGGACTTCAACTCCCAGAATTCCTCAGGCAGCAAAGGAGGAAGGGAGGAAGAAATGAAGAGAGGGAGGGAGAGGGAGATAGGGAGAGAGAGAGAAGAGGGAAGAAGAGAGAAAGAAAGAAAGGGAGGAGAGGAAGGCAGGAAAGAAGAAAGAAAAAGAAAGACAGGATGAAAGAAAGAAGAGGAAGAAGAAAGGAAGAGAGAGGGAGAGAGAGAGAGAAAGAAAGAGGGATGGAGAAGAGAGAAAGAAAAAAAGGGAGGAGAGGAAAGTAGGAAAGAAGAAAAAGAAAGACAGAATGAATGAATGAAAGAAAGAAAGAAAGAAAGAAAGAAAGAAAGAAGAGGGAGGGAAGAAG